GGAGGACATTCTGGTACCATTCTTTAATCATGGCTGTGTTTTTAGGTCAGACTGTGAGAGAGCCGACTCCCTTGGCTGAGAAGCAACCCCACACATGAATGGTTTCAGGATGCTTTACAGTTGGCATGAGACAAGACTGGTGGTAGCGCTCACCTCGTCTTCTCCCAACAAGCTGTTTTCCAGATGTCCCAAACAATGGGAAAGGGGATTGATCAGAGAAAATTACTTTCCCCCAGTCCTCTGTAACTTGTAACTTTTGCAGAATATCAGTCCCTGATGTTTTTTTCCTGGAGAGAAGTGGCTTCTTTGCTGCCCTCCTTGAGACCAGGCCTTGCTCCAAGAGTCTCCCCCTCACAATGCATGCAGATGCACTCACACCTGCCTGCTGCCATTCCTGAGCAAGCTCTGCACCGCTGGTAGCCTGATCCCACAGCTGAAACACTTTTAAGAGACGGTCCTGGCACTTGCTGGTCTTTCTTGGGCGCCCTGGAGCCTTTTTGGCAACAATGGAACCTCTCTCCTTGAAGTTCTTGATGATGCGATAGATTGTTGACTGAGGTGCAATCTTTCTAGCTGCGATTCTCTTTCCTGTTCGGCCATTTTTGTGCAGTGCAATGACGACTGTGTTTCTTTAGAGATAACCATGCTTCACAGAAGAGAAACAATGATGCCAAGCACCAGCCTCTTTTTAAAGTATGCAGTGGTGTCATTCTTACTTAATCATGACAGATTGATCTCCAGCCCTGTCCTCATCACCACCCACACCTGTGTTAATGGAGCAATCACTGAAACCATGTTAGCTGCTCCTTTTAAGGCAGGGCTGCAATGACGTGGAAATGTGTTTTGGGGGATAAAGTTAATTTTCTAGGCAAATATTGACTTTGCAATTAATTGCTGTTACGCTGATCGCTCTTTATAACATTCTGGAGTATATGCAAATTGCCGTTATAAAAACTGAAGCAGTAGACTTTGTAAATATTAACATTTGAATCATTCTCAAAACTTTTGGCCATTACTATACACACACTAGATGCTGTTTATTAATGTATGAAGCATCACCGGCTCTGATGAATTCTACATTCAAGGTGACACCGCCCATCAATTGCTATTCTGGTTTGAGAAAAAAAAAAACACAGGTAAGTGACCGCAATAATCTGATGGAAGATGATTATCCTTTTGACTCACTTACTTGGTTTAACTGTTCAATCCAAGGAGTCCGAGCCAGGTCAGGGAAACAGAACAAACCAGGGCAGTTCTGAGATCCAGGAGTCCGTAGCCCACTCCGGGGATCCGATCAGAACAGGAACAGACAGATCCAATGTTCCAAGAGTCCAACAGAGAGTTCAGGCAGAACCTTCAAATGGGAACAGAAAAGCTCAGTAGCTGAGAGGCAGAACAAGGCATGGTAGTTCAAAACTTGCTCCCTCCACTGTGCCAAAACCGGGCATGCTCAGTGGAGACAGAACAAGATAAGGAACACTAAGAAAAAAACTCAAAACCTCTCTCACCACTGCCTTCTGAGAATGAGAACATCAACATTAAAACTCAGAAACAATGATCTGCAGGTCATCTCAGCAACAAGTGAATGAACTAAACCTCAATGATCTGGTCCCGATAGCTGGGACTGAGCTGTATATAAAGGAGCAGGTGTATAAGATGAATGGTAATTGGAAACTGGGCAGAGTTAGACAGGTGAAAGACATTAGCAATTACACCAGCTATCAGGTCCAAAATCATGGCAAATGTCCCTTTCATCCAACCAAAAGACAGTAACAATTTGTTGATATCAAAGTTTGAGTCCCAATCGTCTGTTTCAGAAAAAGTTATCAGGTAATTGATGATGGTTTCACTCTCAGTGAACACATATACAGACATACAAGATCCTACCTAAATAGGTCAGGTCTTTCAAATTTAACTCTGATGGTTTAATCAGTGAGTTCTGTATGTAAAACCTCAGCTGTACTTTCCTTCTGTGGGTGTTTGTGGGTTGCTGTGTGTCTCTGGTGGGTGTTTTCACTGCAGGGTGGTCTGCAGATATATCTGCCAGCCTTTGTACTATGGTTACGTGAATATAGCTGTGAGGCTCTGTGGTTTTAGCACTTCATGTTTATTCCTACAACTTGTCTCTCTCATTAGTTATTTGCTCTAAAAATGTAGGAAAGAATACTGTTTAAAGTGTTGCCTGAATGATATTGAATACTTTACAGTATACTTTACATTGAATACAATATAGTAATAGTATAAATGCAGTATTTAAACTAAAATGATTTGTATATATTTTATACAGAGTTCAGCACCTTCAACATACTCAAATGTGGGGACAGAGGAACTCAGCTATGGACAAATCAACATCAGAAAACAAA